TCGTGGCCGAGAAGAGGCTAAGTAATCGTGTTGTGGTGTTTATATCTGCTCCATTGAAATCTCATTACTGCCCTGAGGCTTCAGAGCCCATGGCATCGGGCTCCTGGGCTCTGTTCTGTTTCCTCAGTGACTGGCACCGCTATTGCGGGATCACGCATGTGCCTGCAGTCATTAGTGAACTGGTGTTCTGGCATCGATCAGAGCGTTGTGTCATCTTTGCTACCAGCTCCTTCAGCTGACGAACCGGCTTTTGTACACCTGCAATGTCTGTTGTCATGTGCAAACTCCGAGTTAGTCAGTCCGTGAGAGGTGTTTTGTGGGTCTGCATCGTCGTATCCGAGTGGTAAAGGGAAACTTTCTCCTGGATGGTCTCTGCCTTGTTTTAGATGGATTTCAGAGGAATTCCTCGCCATGGATCCCAGTCCTTCAGAGAGATTCAGTTCCTCAGCTTTTACCTTTTCACATATTCCTGCACCAAATCCTCAGTGTTATTCCCATATCAAACCAGGGCTTGACCTATTAATTCCTATGGAAGTCTCATCTCCTTTTTGCTGATACTTTTCCCACCTACCATTTCTACTCTGCTAATCCCAAGACTTGTAAAGGTGATGTGTAAGGGATGGCCTCCCTTCTCCTTAATCCCCCTTCTCCTTAATCCCTACATTTGTCCTCTTGCTCGATGTGCGTTTCTGAACGTACAGGATTTAATCTCACAGCACAGTGTGCTCAGCGCAGAGTTTTGCTGTGGCAGTTTGGAGCCTGCTAAACCATACCCCGCGTACCCTGGGAAGTCAAGCAGCTACTCCGTTTTCAAGAAGCTTCAACTGGAAGAGAAAATCACTCTTAATGAAGCTGTTCCTTCCAGTGGTTTAGTCAGCTGCGTTCAGCCCTGGGGTCCTCTCTGCTCCCTTGGGTTACTTACTGCTTTTATGATTGTGTTGGGGACCATCCAGCCTGTATGCAGTGCCATCTACCTGCTGGTGGGCTTCCAAAGGTGGAATGAAGGAGCTACATTTATTTTTACGGCCCCTTCTCATGGAAAGTTAAGGAAGTTTAGGTTCCTTAGTCATGTAGTGATTCATCTGGTCCACCTTCAGCCGTCTGGCTGATCTAAGTTGCTCATCTCATCTGCCTCTGTAGTCAAGAGCAACAAACTCCTCCAGAGGGCGATTCATCCCCCTTCTGTTGTACCTTTATCTCAGTCTAGACTGCTTGCTTAGACTAGCCAGCTGACATTTGGGTGGGTGAAGGAGGTGAGGGGAATGCCCCTTAGTCACTTCTGAAAAATGTGCTTCTGAGGTAGTTTTTCTTACATGGAATTGAACTGAGAGCGTGCAATTCACTTCTCTTCAAACTGCAAAATGGACCCGAAAATAGCCCCTGTGATGAATTGGCTTTGTATGGGATTCTCACCTCATTCCTCTCATTCCTGAGATTGCTTAGGTGAAAGGCACTTGTTTTATGGTCCTTTGATCCAATTTAATTATGTTCAAGCAAGTGAGTCATGACATTTGTATAATGGGGTCCATTGCCCCAGCTACAAAGTCTGTTCAAATGTAAATGCCGTGACTCTTAGTTTAGAGCTGTTGTTTTGCTGATGCCACCCCATCCCTGGGGTCTGTTTCACTTCCCTGTTTATCTGGAAATTACATAAAGGCATTGTAACTTGGTCGCTGGTGGTTTCAGACAAGTCAGTGGGTGCTCTGTATTTGTAATTAGATCGTGAATATTCATGACTGAGGAAAACAAATCTGTTATTCTTCTTCCAATTGTAGCAACCAAGTGAACTTTGTGAAGGGGGTGTGCGGGGAGGACGTTAAACAGGCCAGCAGGCTCCTGATCCGCAGGCTGTACCTGTTAATGCAACACCTCGGGCCGCTTCCCAGTGACATCACCCTGACCATGAAACTCCTCTACTACAGTGATGGTAGGTGGAGAACTGTGTCTGCTGTGGGGGAAAATTCCCTCTCCATCAGGTTCTGTGATAGTCGTGAGCCCCTGTAAAGTAAATGGAAAGGTGAAATGGTAGAAGCTGTTCGCTGATAACAGTGGGAAACGCTGTGGAACCTAGTGAAGCCTCCTGGCACGCAGGGGTGGCAGGTGCTTTTTAAGAAAGGCTTGAACATCCCTGTCAGAGGTCCGGCCATGCAGTGTGAAAAGGAGACATCCTTCTCCCTCACTGTTGGCTTTTGGGTTTGTCTTTTTGAGGAACAGGCAGCGTGAGGTTCTGCTCCAGAAAGCTGAGCACATTGATGGTATTTCAGCATCCTAAAGTCATTCTTTCTGTGAGCTCCCTGATAACGTTTGCTCTGCTCATTTTTTCCTTTGCATTCTCTCCCTTCTTCCTGAAAAAAAAAAAAACCAGAATATTTTTAGTAGTTGATGTTGTTACTCGAGGCTGGTATACACTTGTTCTTTATCAGTCTGATTGAGGCGAGATGCAACTTGATTTCTCTGACATCAGTGGGTTCTTTCTCCCTGTGTAGTGACTCCCGAGGACTACCAGCCCCCTGGCTTTAAGGAAGATGGCAGCCCTGGTGACCTGTTGTTTGATGGCGATCCTGTCAACCTGAGAGTAGGGTCAGTCTCCACCGGCTTCCACCTCATGAAAGTGAGGGTGACAACTGAAAAGAAGAGGATGGGGACAGTTGAAAGCAACCTGATCCAAAAGAGCGGCCCTACTGAGATCTCCTATCAAGGGTTAGACTGTGATGAAGAGGAGGAGGAGGGGAGCACAAAGGTATAGAAGGAGCTCGATTCGGTTCTCGCTGGAGGAACAGTTTATCTAGCAAAACTCTCCTTAAAAGAAACGTTTTCTCAGAATCCTACTTTAATGAGGGTTTCAGCTTGTGCTGGGCCGCAGCGCTACAGCAGGTTGAACGCTGAGGCTGGGAGTCCACAGATGTAAAGTGAATTTCATTCCAGCACATCCCCTGACTTGCTGAGTCTAGTGTGTTCTCCCAGAAGAGGGCAGTGATCGTACAGAGACCCAACACAGTGCACACACACTCGTGCACAAAGTGGAGAAAATTGCAGTTTTGCATTTCCACTTGGCGTTTCTCAGGCCTAAGCCACGTTCCACTGTGTAGTCAGGTGGGATTCCTTCCACTTACCTCTGGAAGGTGTGTGTTGTGTCTAATTTCTGGAGGCTCCCCACTGCGCTCAGTGGAGGAGGAGGCATCTTTAGCAGGTAATTCAGATCATTTCCTTAGACACCAGGGTAGGCTGGAATGAATGGTCCTCTCCAAAATGATGGAAGGGGCAGCCTGGGCTGGTAACTCAGACTTGACGATTTAATTTTAGGTGGTCAGTGCCAGGGAGTAACCCCAACATAACTAACTCCTGAAGACAGGAAGCCATTTAGGTCTGAATTCCGTCTTTTCTTAGGAAATGTCTCTCTTGAAAGACCTGTAGGCTTGGGAGAAGGAAGGCCTAGGCACTGAGGAGCTGTGAAAATCTGATCCCTATTGGTGCTTGCTGGGTTTATGGATTTACCACCTGGGGGTATTTTTTTAGGTTATGCTATTAAGACAAAACGTCGTTTGCTTTACAGAATCACCCTCTTCCCATCAGAGCAGATTCAAGTGAGCATGAAGAGAACAAAAACGACACCCATCCAGGCTGGAAAACAGAAACATCTTTTCATCTTCAAGATACAGGTAAATGCCCAGTTTCAAAACCAAAGGAGCTGGTGCTCGTGACTGTATCCCAGTGTAACATTTAGGTTTTCTCACTCACTTTGAAATGGATGAACAGAGTTTGCCAGGCTGTTTGAATTTTGTGTCAGATCAGACTGAACTATAATAAAGGGCTTGTTGTACATGTTTGGTTTGTTAACAGAAACATTCGAATTTTTTATCAATATCTTTCTACCTCTTTATCTCAGCAGTTTTTTTCAGATACAGAGGAAATGCACAGTTCATCAATACCAAGTTACATTATCTACATTTTCACCGAAGCTCTTTTCCTTCAGCTGTTACAGTTTGGTTTTGCTAATGACTTCCATATCACATACAGGAAAAAAAAAAAAGCCTTTTCTCTCACTTCAATCAACCTAGCTTCTCATATACCATGCTGTATTTGACCTTTGAGGCTCTCAGATATAGCCTGTGGAACAATACCATCTAGTGACAAAACGGTAAATAGCATTCCTGAGATTCCCCCAGCAGTGGAATAAAGCAGCTCGTCTGCCTATGAAGTCACCTTCTCAGGTCCTTCTCCTGCAGATTCTCCCATGACTAATAAGGGATGAACTCATACTGCCACCTTTTCCACTCTGGGGATATTAACTCAATCTTCCTCCTCTAACCAGCTGCCTATTTTCATGAAACTGTGGTGCTTTGGGACTCTACATCAAATTTTATTGAAACTGTCTAATAAGGTCAATAGTTATTAGTCAGGGGACAGCTCCTCTCCTTCCCCATCCACACACACACTGGAATAGAACCGTAGAGGCGTTTAGGTTTGAAAAGACCTTTAAGATCACGGAGTGGATAGAGCATATGCAGGCATCAGCTCTGTTTTCTTAGCAACCAGGTTAAAATGGAGTTTAAGTATAACTGACGGGAGCTGCTGCAAGTTGATGTGTTGCACGTTCAGGTGACACTTTATTCTGAAATCTCTGTTTCCAGGAATAAGCTGCCGGTGTTGGCAGTGCCTGAGAGCAAAGGTCACACAACTTCAGATCAGGCATGGGATTTTGCTGCAGTGGTTTAGTTGGGCTTCTGGATTTGTTTTTTAATTAAACACAGGGTTTTAACTTTGGAGCTGATTTTGATTTGGTGTTTGGATTGTAGGTGGAAAGAAGAGGATGGCAATCAAGGAGGCAGGCAGGATGCCTAGCTCAAGGGCATCTCAGCAGGTGAGGAGATTTTGGTGGCTCTAAGATAACACCAGGCGAGGTGGAATTCATTGCCACGGAACGTTATGTCATCTAGGATACGACACAAGCTTCAACTAACATGAGTGCATTTATTGTGCAGGATCAAAGTGCATAGAGGCTACAGAATATTAGGGCGTAGTGGAACGTTATGTCATCTAGGATATGACACAAGCTTCAACTAACATGAGTGCGTTTATTGTGCATAGAGGCTACAGAATATTAGGGCGTAGGGCTATAAGCAGAAGCTGGAAGCACTTAGGAAGAAACTTTCCACGGTCAGCTTATTCCGTACATCCAGTACAAAAATTTGGTGCTGTTCTCTGGACTTGGCACTCGTGAATTCCCCATGCAGACTAAACGTATCAGTGTCCCAGCCAGGCTGGTTTACCTGTGTGTGTGTTTTTGGATTAAGGTTCTGAAATCACTGCCCTGTTTTAGGTTTGAAGGGTGTGTTTGTCTGTTGCCTAGCCTGGCCTTCACCTCTCCTTTCTTATTTCCAGACTATCTTTACATGTGAGTCACAGGTACTTACCAGATCCTATCCCTTTTTGGCTACCTCTTTAGGATAGGAAGAATCATCCCCTGGAGGTGCTGATCTCTTTTTCAGTGGTTGTTGGGGCAACCCAAAGCACTAGGGTAGACCAGACATGTAACTTTAGATAAGTAAAGTTATGTGAAATTAATTCCATCCTGAAGGCTGCCCAGGCCAAACCCTGAGTCAGAATCAGAGCTCGAATTCATGGGCTTGTGCAGAGGTTTTTTCAGTGACAGGGCAAATCTCTGAATACCACCAGACTTGCCACTTGATCCTCCTCCCATTCAAATTAGTTAAAAATTGTGTGAGCTTGAATGTTCAGAAACTGAATCTTTACAGGATAAGTTAATGAGAGTCGGAAATTGCTACTAAAATTTTCCCCGCCTCTGTTGAAAAGAATCCCAGGGTGTCTAACCCAGACAGCAACTGGAGACTACAACTTAACGTGTCATTCAAAAGGCATCTGTGAAGTATTTGCCTTGACTCTGGATCTTAGAAATGAACTTCTGTGCCTAGGCTGGTATTTTTCAAACTTTAACCACATTTTTTTTTTATGTCACATCCTCCAGTTTCCTTCTGATCATTGTTTATTCTGTCGTCTGTGTGAAAACAGGAGCCTTTTTTGTTTGTAACTCATGGTTGTCCCACTGATTCATGCTCTGACATTCTTTTGGGGCTGTCACGACTGTAAGCAGAGCACCAGACACCTCTCTCTTGCAGCATGTGAATTTCATTAGAATACAGTAGCAATAGTGAGAGTGTCTGAAGGTGGTGGAAACAGCATTAGTTGCTGAAAAATGGAAGAGTCACTTTATCCATTGCATGCTTCCAAAGACTTAAAAACAAAAACATCCCAAGCCCTCTGCCTGGTAGATTCTGCATGGCAGAGAGTTTTTCTAGTGTGTTCTTTGATACTATTTTTTGAATCATCATAGCTTAGAAGGTGGTTAATATTTCAGCAGTTTAGGGAAAACCAAAGTCAAGTCACTAGTTAAAATGTGCAGATCATCACTGCAAAGCCAGCGCTAATAAAAATTTGACACTCTTTTCCATACGAGAGGGACTTTCCCTTCTTTTCTGGGGGAAGTGATTAAAACAAATGACCATTGTCTATTCCACTTGAATCAGGAAGCCAAACTGGTGAGTGAAGTTTGTCTTTAAAAATGAGGACAAGCTTGGGTGGATGGGAAGTGTGAGGTAGGTGTTACCTAACAGGGTCAAGTATGGGTAAGATGGGTAGAAGGAGTCCTGCTGGGGTGTGAGTGCAAGCACCTTGTTGCCATCCAGCCTGCAGTGCAGTCGAGAAACAGCAGTTTCGTGCTCTCAGGGGTGTGCAGAGCAGCTCTCTGCTTTAAAGCGCTGTGAGGTCTCCAGAGTGACTTGTTTTCTTCTGGATGTCAGAGTTTCATGAGCTGGGTGTGTGAGGGGCCCTGGGGAGCGGCGTAGCCTGGGCCACGGAGGTCTCCCTTTACTGGGGCAGACGTGAGCCCTCAGACTCGCTTTGAGTGTTGGGTTTCCACCAGAAGAAGATCCCCTTGAACCAGCTTACGGAATGATTGCTCCCGTCCCAGCAGCACCATAAGGGAGCGAGCAAGGCTGGGTGGTGAGGAATGGGCAGAGAGGGTCTGGGAGGGACACCTGTCCTTCTGGTGGCCACGCAGTGTCAGCTGTTCAGGGACTTGGGGATACGGTGCGCTCTGTACAGTGAATTGTTCAGGCCAAGATTTTCAGAACTAAACCAATTTGGAGCATCCCAGAATTTGATGTCTGTACAAGGGTTTTATACGGAAGAAGGGCCAAGTTCAGAAGTGGTACCCACAGTCACTGGTTGCTTTTAGAAATGTGAACGAGCCCATTACTGCTCTTCATCTGGAGTGAACTGCTTTATTCCTTCTGATTCCTTGGTTATCAAAAATAAAAACTGTGCTGTGGAACTGAGTTTACTGGTCATTATCTTCCTGACCTATAGCTCTTCAGGAAAACCAGGAATGAAAGTATTAAAGGCTTATTTTTATCTTATAGACATGGGAGAGGCAAAGGATGCGGATCTGCCAAAAGAGAAGCAGCTATGCCTACCCGGTTGGAACTGTAACTGTCCTTTAGTGATGGCCGTGGAGAGTCTCTGACAGAGGGCTTTTCAGATTGGAGAAAAATTTACATGTACTCAACTGGCTTGTTATCTGCAATCTCATGATTGATGATACTTAGGATCAAATGAGAGATTGCCCTTTCCCAGCAAAGCATCTCTGCACTTAATCATCCGGAGTTAGACACCAGCATGTAAATTAGCCTACCTCTGCTGACTTCAGGAGAGTTTTTCGGATTGCGTCAGCCGAGGATTTGGCCCAGCGCGCTGTCTTTATGCGCCTTGCTGTTTCCCACTGGCATTCTAGGGGTGTTGGGTAAAATAGGGAATTGCTGCCCTTTGGTTTAGCTTAATGAGATCTGCTGATGAGAATGGGGTCCTGCGCTGAACTTAGGATAACTTGTTGGATTCTTCAACGTACTCCTTTACCCACGAGTGAATCCTTTAACATTCTTGTCCTGCAAATCGATTTTGGTCAGCTTTGTCTTCATGTAAGCGAACATGTTGCAGTGGAATGAGTTTGGAATGAAACAGAACTAGAAGATGAGTAAAATCTGACCATGTGGACGCCTCTGCAGGCCTTTATCTCCCATCAGGAAGCTGTGGGCTGAAGTTCTGGGGTGGTCCTTAGAGCACAGTCTCACTGCGCGCTGAAGCAGCCATGCAGAGAGCCCTGAATCGCCCCTGGCCGAGCCTGCGCCAGAGCTGGAAATGGGGTGGCCGCATCAGCACAGCCCAGGTCAGCTCTGCCTCCCGAGTTTCTGGCTGCATTAGCCAGCGCCAGACGCTGCTTACGCTGCTAGACTGGCCGTGCTTGTGCTACTAGACTGCCGTGGGACATGGGGAGTGTGTTGACGCTTGGCGTGGTGCGGACGTACGAGTTTGGATCCGTGATAGCTCAGGGCTCGCTGCACGGCGATTCGCTGCCTGCTGTAGGCATGCTGCTGCCATGTGGATTAGCTCTCTTAACTGGAGCTGTCTGAGAGTTAGATGTCTGGGGAGAGATACATACCTAAAGAGTGCAAATCAGTGCTGGTTTAGACCCCAGAGGATAGCCTGTCTGGCCTCCAGCTGCTGCTCCTCATGCAGAAGACTTGGCTACCTGGCCACGTCCTCTTTCTCCGAGGGACTGCGGCGGCGATGGCAGCCAGTGTGAACAGAGTCTTTCACGGATGACACGTTACGAGTAATACCTTGTGTTGCCAGTGAGCAGCGTTCTGTTGGTGCCCACGGCCATGGTTACCCTGATGGAGATCCTCGTGCCTTTGCTGAGCTCCGTGTTGTGCACAGCCCCTGTCTGAAAGAAAAGGTCAGCACAAGTGGGTTCAATTGCAGAATGACAGTGTGGAGATCAAGACCTTTGTTGTCTGATTTTTCCCAGGCAAAACCCACTGTTAGAATTGCCATGACAGACAGCAGTTGAAGGGTGAAGCCTGCCATTTGCAAAGCAATAGAAAAACATTTTTCTGTGGCAATGTCATTATCTTGAACTTTTACAGAAAAGAGAAAAAAAAAAAAAAAAGAGAGAGAAAGGTTTATCTCTAACTGTCTATCAAGAGAGCTGTATCTGATGAGAAGTTCCCAGAACATTTTCTCCTCCAAACCAGCTGAGGCTACACAGACCCAAACAATAAAGAGAGAAAGATTCAGAGATGAGCTCCCCTCTCTCCTTCCTGTGAGCTCAGGCCATTCTGGGAGGAGTGAGACAGGGAGGTCAGGAAATTCCTGGCTTCTCTCAGTTCACGTCAGATCCTTAGCTGTATCTTGGGGCCATTCATCCCTTGCATGAGTTATCCCTGTCTAGTGTGCAGGAAGCAGTTTGCAAGTGATCTCTTCATCCAGAGGTGAGGCTCATCACCCCGCAGACCCGGGGGGATTTAACCCTTGTACCCTCAGATTCCCTGGCAGCTACCCCAGGGACATCCGCAGGAAGACGTGGAGCTTCCATGCTGGCTGCCTTTACATAGGTTCACGGCGTACGTGCCAGCGGCCAGGCCCTCCAGAGAAATCTGCATAAACTGAGGTTGGACAGATCTGATATCCCCCAAGGGACTGCGCTGGGTAGCACCCTGGTAGGCAGAAGGAGCGTCCGTTGCTTTTCGCCTCCTCTGTTACAGCGCTGTGCTCTCACAGGGGAAGGCTTCTGGTGTTGGGAGGCGAATGGGGCTGTGAGCCGGCGATCAGGATGGGCAGCCCGGCAGCGCGCAGCGTGATTGAGGGCCCTGGAAGAGATTATAAGCAGAGATTGACAAATTTTTTTTTTCCAACGGGTTCACTAGTCCTTTAAATGCCACAAGATACACGAGGTACAGAGTAGGCCTGTGAGACTTCCCGTTCGCGAAGAAAAAAATTGCATTGAATGTCAAAGATTTTAACAGTGAGCGATGGAAAAGGAAGAGGACTAGTGGTAGTCAGTGATGTGTTGGCATGGCTTCCTGGGCACAAAAATGTGGCAAGTTTCCACAGAAGCACCACAGTGAGTGTCTTTCATTCTTCCACCTGCGTAAATTGGCTTTCATGCTAACCAGCATGATTCTCCTCCACTTGTACAGATGAAAATCAGGATTAATTCTACTGATGTCAGTGCGATCGCCTTACTGGAAACTGATACGAGACCACGCTGAGCCCTGCGTGGAGGGTTTAACCACTGTGCCGCCCGCGCAGGATCGCTGAGGTCAGAAGGCCCGATGGGAGGTTGTCGTGTCCACCCTACCAGGGTGAAGTGGAGCAGGTTTCTCAGGACTTTGTCCACTCAGGTGTTGAGACTCCATAACCTCCCTGGACAGCTTGGGCCAGTATTTGATTGCCCTCATAGTAAAAAAAAAAAATATTTGTCCTTATGTTGAGGTGGAATGTCCTGTATTTCAGTTTGTGTCCGTTTCCTCTCGTGCTTTCACTGGACACCGTGATGTACCTTGTGAACCTTGACTGCTGCTGTGCTTGGGGAGTGTGGAGCAGCCAACTGGCCGTGAGTAGGTGGGAATTACTGCCTTCAGCCAGAAAGGAATGGCTGTTCACCAGGGGGTGCCTCAGGTCTTAGGGGTCAATTTAAAGATTCACTGGCGTGGTTTCTGAAAGTGGGGAGTGTTTGCTGTGCTGTGGAGTCACCGTTAGCCGCAGCTGAAATCGCAGGATACATCGGGCACTGGCTGGCTCTGGTTAAAGTTTCCTGGTGGTGATAGACGTCCCCTGCAGATACTGTTTGTTGCCCTTACACCTGAGAATCATTTTGCCTTATTTCAGCAGTTAAGTCGTGCGTCTCATCCTTATTCTTTTAGCTTGCTTGCTGGAACCGGACCTCTTTTGACATTAATGTGCTTCTGAATTTGTCAGGACAGTTACAAGGTACCAAACCAAATGCTTCGTGTCCCTGACAAAGGGAACTCTTCTGAGGGCATAAAATTTGCCAAGTGCCAAACCTCAGCATGGGGCAGGCCAGGGACAAAGAGGGACACAGTCGAATGCTCTTGTGCAATTTTAGCTTTTCTACATAGGATGCCTTGGGAAGCAAAACACATGTCAGAAGAGCTGTAAATTTGCTTCGATTTATGCTGGGAATTTTTGGCTGGAATACATGGGGACGCTGGGGACTGAAAATTGCAGAGCACGAAACTAGGTCCTGATTTTGTCTATCTAAGAATAGCAGTGTAGCTGTGGTCTACTCATTCTGTTTCGTCCACCAGTCTGCCTTGGGAAGGCTTTAATCTAAGTCTAATCTATTTTTAGCCTGATATCTTCTCCAGACGATGTGCAGCTGTCCTGTTAGGTTTATGCCAGAAATTAGTAACACTTGTATGATTCACAAGTTAGCTGTGTTTTTACAGAAAAATTCTGCAGCAACCTATTAGGTTTTTTTTTACACGTAGCGCAGGATTGTCAAACAGGAGATTCAAACTCCCTGTGTGCTCGTGGTATGACCTAGACCCAGAACTACGCCTTGGACTCAGAGTCAGGAGGTCACGGGTCTGTTCCTGTCTTGGCTGCTTGATCCGGACTTGTCCCACCTGTCCCGTGGTCAGCACGGTCCCTCTGCAGGGTGAGCGTGCGAGGGCCTGCGCCTCGTCCGACGTGCTTTTACAGCCCCTGGCTCATCAGCGGAGCCGCGGGCCTGCGGTGGTTGTGTAAGACAAAACACTCAACATTCATACAGCACAAGCTCTCCTGTCAGTTGTTCTAAGTCAAGCATCCCGGTACATGGGAAAAATTAGATTTAATCAACTTCTGGAGGCTTTGATTGTGTGTTTAGTCAATGGGAGGGATTTCCTGCTTTTCACCGCACCGTTTTAAGAGGTTTACTTTCTGGTTAAAGTCAAATAAACATACGTAGGATCTGACTTAATCCCATTTAGAGCAATGTTTCTGGGGAAGAATCTGGAGTGTTTGGTTAAGGATGGGACCTGGAAGTTGGACTTGGGGTCTGTTCCTGGCTCTGAGCTCCTACGTGAATCTGTAGCTGGGCAGGGGCAGGACGGGACACGTTGACTTCGGTGAAATGCCTCGCACAGTTGACATCTGATTCATTCAACAGATGAATAGTGCTTGTCTAGAGCACTTGATGGCTTGCCTGGATGTTTTGGCTCTTCTCATCTCAGGCTCCTGTTAGGTGGTCACGCTGCCTGTGGTAAAGGGGAGGAAAACTGTGGCAGAGTTGCAGTGGACTCTGCGTGAGCAGCTGCTCATTGTGGCTGTTTCTCCTGCCTCAAAAGTATCCCATCCATGCAGAAAATTTAGGAGGACTAGCAAAGGGGTAAAACCTGTACTGAGCAGTTGTCTGTGCTGCAGAAGATCCATTCCTCAACAGAGGAAGTAAAAGCACCAGCTCTAGCTGGTGCTCTCTTTGTGCGGTTCAGGCTAAAACAGAAGGAGAGCAGCCTCATTCAGGTGACTGGGGACCGGGAGACTGGGGATCATCGCTTTGCTTTATCGTGTGGCCAGCAGGACAGGGTAAACCCTGCAGCTGTGTTAGCACTGGAGAGGTTTTGGATGCAGTGTTTCCCCCCTCTGGGCCCTTTACTTCAAAAAAGGAAGCAGACAGGTTAAAACGGTGCCAGGGAGAGGAAAGTAAATAACTGCCTAAAATGCCAGTTTGAGCAGCTGGATATCAGGTCAGGAGCTGTAACACAGAGATCCACTCATCACTCTTTCCTCAAGCAAATACGCCTCGGGCAGTGTTGGAAGTTTTGTCAGCCTGGGTGTGCAGGATGAAGGAGAACCTGCTCGTCCCACTTTGGCAGATTCTTGTTTTCTCTGGTCGTATGGAAAGGAAATTGTACTTTCTGCATTAAGCAACATTGTGTTGCTCATAATGAAGAGGAGGGAAGAGGGGAGGAAAAACAATTTGAAACGCGATAGCGAGGCGAAGTGAGGTGGTTTCAAACTATTTTGCTGTTAATCCGTAATCGGAGTTATTTCACACATTAGAAAGACCATTGCTATGTGGAGATCACCGAAGCCTCATACCAAGGTCAGATAGAAAGAAAGCCTTGATGACGTGAGGGAGGAATTCTATAATGACCACATCTTGTAATCTGGAGACCTTGTGCTTGTCTCCAGGGTGCATTCTGGAATTAACTCCTTGTGTTTATCCTGCTTCAGTTACGGGATTCCTCATGTTTTACGGTGAAACTGGAGTAAGGTCCTCCTGTTTTGGAGCAGGAACTCTGTTATCACTCTCTCCCCTTTTCATTCACCTTACTTTCATCCAAATAAACTTTGTTTTGGAGGCAAGGTTGAAGCGGTGTGCTGTAGTGTGTCCCTTCAGCTCTGTTCCAGTGAGAGCAAGAGAGGTTACATTGCCAGACTGTGTGCTTTGTCCCTTCTGGGTGGGCGACAGCCCACGTTACTCTCTGCAGCTCCAGATAGGATTGTAAAAATGCAAAAGTGTTACGTGGTAATGAGAATAAGGGAATTTTTCCCTTGGCCCAGCCAACACTTCAACAGTTGTTCTGGCTGGCTGTCTCTCTGTGGGCTGTCTGAATTGCCTGTACCATTGACCCGTTTATATTCTAACCTGTATTCATCTGTGGGTTTTAACCTTTTGGTTTGTAGGCCCCTGAATATTTTTGAGGGAGGTTTGTGTCTTTCTAGAGGGAAATGAAGCCTCTTGGAAGAAAGCTTAGCTATTTTTCGCAGACTCACAGGTAGTCTTTGAAGTCTGAATTCAACCAGCTGGCATTGAAATTCCCTGACACACAAATGGAGGTACTGCTTGTCTCCTGAAAGGCTGTTTCCAGTGACTGCAAATTTGACATAAGTGCCCCCGTTCTTTTACATACTTTGATGATTATCTGAGGTTGGTGAAACAGGCTGTGCCCTGTAAGCTGTTGTGTTTCTCAAAGGGCTCCTTGCTCCTGGTATTTTCTGTCAGCAGTGGGGAGATGGGTACTGTTCCTTGTGCCGCCAAAACCGTTCTCTGTCCCTGAAGCTGAACCTGGTGCTTTCACAAATCTCACAATCCCAGTTCCATCCAGTATTCCAGTTTTGAGTCCTTGCCTAATTGCTTTTCTGGAGAACAGGATTACACTGAACAAACCCAAGAGGATCCAGGAAAATGCTTTGTAGCTTTGGAAGTTGTATTTCTTGACTCATCTAGCAGGACCCTGAACCGTGAGAATGATCACTCTTTCTGATGGTTCTTACAGATAAGCTGCCTGAACCTTGCGTTTAGCCAGGAAGAGGTAATAGGACCCAAGAAGAAAAGGAAGGTCAGCGAACCAGAGAAGCTGCTTCTGGAAGGCAGGAAATGATGTTTGTTCTGACACACAATACATTTTGGAAGGTGTGAGTTTGCATTGTCATCTGACTAGTAGAGACCTTTACTCTCTTCAGAATTTAACTCTTCCGCACGCCGCGTGTGTTCCTGCATGTTTATTTGTCTAGTGAAGGCTTTGGATTGTGAAGAGACAGCAAGCACCGTGATTGTCATCACCGTGTAACCAACGGCGCTTGTTTGGTGTTCTAAAGTTGAGGATTTATGGTTCCATGTGGGTGGTGGCTGTGTGCTTCGTTCTCTGTCTCTCTCCCTCACACCCACCCCCTCCCACTGTCTGTATTTCCTCAGCCGTGGCTGGACTGGCCTTTGCCGATGTGGCATCGATATTTAATGGCGCTGTTTCAAGATGAATTCTCTGAGGTATCAATGCCAGCAAGCAGCAAGTCTCATGATTCAATAGATTGTGCTTAACTTCATCCTATCTACTGTTTCCGGAGCATAGATTTTTTTTCAAAGACGGGTTTTTTATCTGTATTGAATACAGAGATAAAGTAATGTATACACGTTTTCTGCTGGTGCTGAATGTTGGGTTGGTTTTTTTTTTCTGACTCTGCAAGTAGTGTTGCTATGACTCTATTATCAGCTTATTTCTAAAACAGCAACCCACCATGTACCAGGGGGCTTAGACAGTTGTGTGACGTAAATTGTGTTGCAATATGGCACATTTAAAACCTAACTTTAATAGAGGTACCTGGTGGTTGCAAATACAGGTAAGGAGAAAAACGGCAACAAAAGAAAAAAAAAGTCTGTGTCCCTTGGAGCGAAGGTGCTGTGCTTCAGGTCGTGCAGGTTGCCTGGCAGGCACTCTGTCAGGACAGTAGTGGCTATTACTGGAGTGGGAGGAGCAAAATGGTCTTAATTGGTCTTAGACATTTTAAAAAAGATGTTCAAGGAACAGCCTTTGCGTTACTTTATGCACACGGCAAAAGGGATACTGAAATGCGAGCTGGGGAACAAGGGAATGCAGTGCGCTCTCTGCCCGAGGGGATGTTGACTGCCTGAAGTGTTCAGATCTTAGGTCGTGGGGAAATAAAAGCACCGGGGCACCACGGAGTGAGGCACCAGTAATGTAGCAGCATCCCTGACATTTCGGATACACAGCAGAGATATTTCAGGACAGGACTTGAAGAGCAGCAGTGGGTTTGGTGTCAGGTGTTTCTTTTGTGGTCCATGTCAGACAGCTCTGTAGAAAGCAGAGGGGATCACTTGACAAGTGTCTGACTCACAGTGTCTACGGCATCGGATTGAAGGACCTTGGCCACCAGTGCCATCGCTTGACACACTGGGTTTCCTGTTGCCACTGAGGTGGTGGTGTCTTCTGCTGTGGCGGTGCTTGAGGTTGGCTCCAGACACCAAGGTCTTCCTCGCTGCTGAAACAGTGATCTTTCCTTGACTGGATAAAAGGTGGGGATCGATGCATCTCTCATGCTTTTACTCTGATTGGCATCTGAAAGAGTTGAAAGCCAGACTGGAACTGGCTGACTGGGTAGAGGAGACCACTGAAGCTGAACACCCCTCAGTGTTCAGTCAGCCTCCTTCTCCAGGCAGCTGAGTAATGCATTGCAATCCTGGTGCTGATACCACAGCTGCCATAGAGTCATTAGGTTGGAACAGACCTCTGAGATCAT